TTGGCTCAGAGCTCTGCCTCAGTGTCTTCTGTTGTAGGTTGAACAATTTTAATCCCCATACTGAACTGAGAGCAATTGGGCCCATTCCCTTACCCTGCCATATAGCTGTGAGACTTTGTATGACCAAAATCAATTGAGTTAAGATGAGAAATTTTTTAATTGTTAGATTGAATAGCCTCTTCTCAATCCTCATTCTAGCCCTTTCTGCATTATCCTTACACTGTTAGCCACCCTCTCTTGGATATACTTTCCTCTCTGAGTTTTCATAATACTATTTCTTCCTTCCTTTCTTCCATTTGTCTAATGGCTCCTTCTTGTCTCTTCTGGTGGATTTAATTCCATGTCATATGGAAAAACTGTGGGTACATGACAAAACTCTGTGTCTTTCTTCTCTTTTCTCTCTATAGGTTCTCATTTGGTGATGAGTCAGCTACCATGGGTCCAGTTGCCAGTCTGTGTGGGTGATTCTTTGATAGACATATCCAACCCTAATCTCCCTTGAGATCTAGGCCTATATTACAATCTGAACATCTATAGGTATCTCAAATTCAACATGTCCAAAAAAGAACTCATTAACTCTTTCCTAAACCTTACCCCTCTTTCAAACTTCCTTATCAGTGTTGAAGACACCAGTATCTTTCCAGTAACTCAGGTATACAAAGTTAGGTTTTATACTGTCAGGTTTTAAAATTAATCAAACTCATGAGTGGAGGAATAATGTATCTTTATTTGCAATAAGGAATACCAGCTCACACAGGGACTTGACCCCTGGACCCTCAGATCTAAAGTCTGATGCTCTACCAACTGAGCTATCTGGGTCCACTAAGTAGCAACTGGGCACTGCCTCACTCAAAGTAAGGAACCTGAAAAGACCTTAGTTTAAAAGTGCTAAGGTCTCTCACTATATCCTGGGACATCTCTAGTCATTCTGATTGATGTCTGGCCACTGGACTCAGATGGCTCTGGAGGAAAAAGCGAGGCTGCTGCCTTGGCACAGCCCTCCTTCACTCAAATCAGTCAATTGCAAGTCATGTCATCATCTCTCTAATGTCATGGTCCTCATTGAGAATGAAAGACAAATCACAACCACACAACAGACCTGCCACCCTGGGGGATGTCCCAATAGCCAACTTACAGGAAAAAGTTCTTACATTTTTAGGAGAAAAGGGGGAGGGAGTCACATTAGTTATCGAGGCCTGGTCATTTGATGCTAACCACCCTTAGCATTCCAAGCAAATAAAACCACTTTATTCTGGCTGTTTTGCCTTTCAAGCCATGAATCCCAATGGAAGAGAGCAAGGACATTAGGGGCTACTTTAGAAACTAGTCTAGCTCAAGTTAGCTTTGTTTACAGGGTAAAATCCCAGGGTGGGACTCGGGGTATGGTTCAGCTCATCCTCATCGAGAGTAAATATTTCAAGAGTAGGAATGCAAGGAGATTACCGAAATTCTAACTTTACTAGGCTCTTTTAAAGGGTTTAGTAGTGAGGGAAAGGGTACTTAGGACAGCAAATAAGGATGCTTATCACTTGCTACAAAGGAAAGAATCTGTCCTTGTTAGTAAAGGAAGACCAAATATTAGACCAAAGGAAATTAGTACCTTCTTTAATAGTCAGTCAGTCAAGCATTTGTTAAAGGCCTACTGTGTGCTTTATTAGCTAGGATAAAGGGAGGGGGACAAATGGAGCTAGTTACATCTCCTCTTGTTGTTCAGACATATCTGACTCTCCATGACCCCATTTTTAGGTTTTCTTGGCAAAGCTACGAAAGTGGTTTGTCATTTCCTTTTGAGGTAAATAGGGTTAAGTGACTTGCCCAGGATCACACAATTACTAAGTGTCTGAGGCTGGATTTGAACTCATAAAGATAAGTCTTCCTTATTCCCAGCCCAGTGCTCTATTCACTGCATCACCTTGCTGCTCACAGCTAGTCTTGATAGATCATTTTTAGTTTTTTTTTTAAATCATCTTTCAACACTATCAAAGTGATTTTCCTAAATTGTTGGTCTGACCATATCCCTCATCTATTTGACATATTTCAGTGGCTACCTATGACCTCTAGCATCAAATAAAACTCCCCTATTGGGCAACTAAAACTCTTCTCAGCCTGATCATATCCCACGGTTAGAGGCTTATACATTACTACTCTCTGCCCACTTTACAATTCAGACAACTGGCCTTCTTGCCGCTCCTCAGAGTTGTTACTCCCATCAGGCCTTTGCTTTGGCTGTTCCCAACGCCTGGGGTGCGTTCCTTTCCCACCTCCACCTCTTGGAATCCCTGATCTCCAAGACACAGTATGAGGGCTGCCTTCTGCAACAGACCTTTCTGGGTACTCGCAGAACTACTAGCGCTGCTCTAATTCCAAAGCTACCTTGTATCTGTTTTTTATGTATTTTGTGTTTATGTGTTTGAATGTAACATCCTTGAAGGTAGAGGCTATTCTGTTTTCTTTGTATCTTCCATTCCTAGTAATGCCTGATACATAGTAGGCATTCCTTTAAGAAATGCTTGGTTATTGATCAGGATGGCTAACTTGTGTTGACATAGTGAGAATCTAGGATTATCTCAAGTTAGAACTATTGAAGAAATTCCATTTCGATGAATCTGCATGATCTTGTGTAACTTTATTACCTCACATACTCCATCCAGGCTTTCCGTGCTACACAATTTTTATCCATGTCTTCCCCTAAGTCCTCCAAAGAGGATCTATCCCACCTTCTAGAGGCCACACCTAACACCTATCATATTGGCCAAGATGACAAAAAAGGAAAATGACAATTGTCATTGTGAAAAGGTTTGAGCACTGGCTCATTGCTGGCGGAACTGAATTTGTTCAGCCAATCAGTAAAGCAATTTGGAACTATCCCCCCACTTCATCACTGAACTGGGCACACCCTTTGACTCAGACGTATGACAATTAGGCCTCTATTTCAAGGAGAATAAAGAAAAAGGAAAAGGGGAAAAAAAGACCCATTGGTATAAAAAAAGTCATTCTTTTTGTTGAAGCAAAAACTTGAAACAAAATCATTTGGGGAATGGCTGACGAACTATGGTATATTAGTGTAATGAATATTATTACACAATAAAATATATTGAACATTTCTGAGCAGCTTGGGAAGACTTGTATGAAATGATACAGTGAAGTGAGGACAATCAAGAGAAAACTTATAGAGTTAACAACATTATAAAGAAAAATAACTTTGAAAGACTTGAGAACTCCTATCAATGCAATGACTAACCATGACTCCAGAGGACTAATGAAAAAGTGTGCTTGCAACCTCCTGGTAGAGAGGTGATGTCATGAACTCAAAAAGCAAAATGAATATACAATGTTGAACATAGCAAATGTGTGGATTTGTCTTGCTTAACTATACCCTTCTCATTTATTTATTCATTTAATCTAACAAAAATCTATCTTTTATCCCTACCACCTTAAATAAAAAATTAAAAAAGAAAATAAATTAAAAGAAAAAATAAATTAAAAGAAAAAAAAGAAAACCCTTGTACCCAATATGTATTTGATTATTTTTGTTGATTACAAGGATTGTGCCTTTCTTTTCTTTTTTATTGGAGGAAGTATGGGAGGGGGGAAGGGGAAGCTAGCAATAGTGTTGGCAGAAAAAAAAAATTTTAAAAAGAGTGTCATTGAAGCATTTTTTTAATGCACAGAAGAGAAAAGAAGGAAGTTTAAAAAGAAACCCAGACTAGCAGGGAAGTTTTAAGGTAACATGCTGAATTTATTATATGTACTTTATTTTCTAAAAAAAAATTAAGTATGTAATAGAGTCATAGTTTCATGTGTAATATTTTTCTATTATACTTTGTATATGAATATTATGAATCTTTATTAAATTGGAGTGACCCCTATTTTGGTGTTTGGGACTTTCTTTGTATTTCTAGAACTTAGCATAGCGACAGCATGTAATAAATATTGATCAATTGATTGATTTCCTAAAGGAGGAGAGATGCTACCCTATGGTCCCCAAGTTTCCTTGAGTCTTTTATTCTATGACCTAGGGCACTGAGTGGTTGAAATAACTTATCCAGGGTCGCACACCATTATACTTGAACCGTGGGACCGGGACTCAGGTCCTGCTGGCCTGTTCACTATTCAAAACTTTGCTCACCTAACTAAAGAGCTATGCATTTTCTGAAAGTTGTAGAGGAGATTAAAACAAACAAACAAACAAACAAACAAAACACTAGCCCTAGGCAAAGGTCCTTATCTTTTTGGGGGATGAGGGGTAGAAGCAGAGGTGGGTCCTGGACCCTTTGGTAGTCTGTGGAACCCTTCTTGGAATCACGTTTGTAAATGTACAAAATGAAATACATACAATTGCAAAGGAAGCCAATTATATTGAAATAGTTATCAAAAAATCTTTTTAAAAAATGAGTTCTTGGGCCCCAGATTTAAGTTAGAACCCCATGTTTCTAGGGTCTCTGATCCAGAACAGCATTCCAAAATATATGTGTGTGTGTGTATAGATGTATATATAGTAGTTTTAATACAACTTAGCTCTTATATTACGAAAAAAAGCTTGTGAATCGAGGCTCTAAGACAGCTGGACTGTGACCATACTGCTAGAGAAAGAAAAAGCAGGGGAAACAGGGTTTTCCATCTACTCTAGGATCCTAAAACTGAAGGAATATGCTTCTCTTGTAGTGATTATGGTCCACTTCAAAGAATTTAATAGTAAGTCTCCGCCCCGCACATTATGCAAAATATAATACGTCACGAGTTCCTAAGATATTATGCAAATACATCGTGAAGCTTGTCGGGAGAGTACTATTTGGGAGTATGAGTGAAGTAGAATTTGTCTTATTTCAGTTTTTTCAGTGGAGAAAACGGACAAAAGTGTCACTTTTTTTAGTGAAAGTTGGACTGAGGGAAAGGAAGAGAACGCGAAAGCTAATTCGTCATAAGCTTAATTGGAGTCGAAATTTTCTGGATTTGGCTACCAAGAAACATTTTGTATCGTCAGTACGGTACATCCTTACCTGTTGCTCCTTTTTGGAGAACAGTAAATGATGATTGGAGCTCGCATGACACGTGATTAGTGTTCCTGCAGCTACTAGGAGATGGCGACAAACTCCTGGTTGCTCCTTTCTGATTCGTACTGGCGATGTTCTTCACGTTTTTATTTTGCTGTTTTTAAAAATAAAACGGTAATTATCTTCTCTTGGGGTTCTGTAGTCTTCGGACTTAAAATATTATATGGTAATGTAGAGTTTATGGACAAAAGCGTTAAAAGACATACAGCGTTTATTCCAGTAATTAAAAGATTGGTTTAGAAATATGTAAGTGCAAGCAGAAAAAAAATGCTGGAGGTTGGGGTAATTTAAGTTGAAGTTACCAACTTTCCTCTGTTACCGCACATTTGCGAGGATCCTGTAGGAAGCTGATATTCGAGGCAGCCAAGGGGAATCTTTAATTTTTACCGTATTATATTAAATAGACTGTCACTTAAGGGTTTCGGGAAAAATGCAGGGGTTTTTTCTTTACTTCATTTTTACCTTCGTTCTTTTCCTTACTCTTCACGTACATCCCACGTCTCCCCCCGCCCTCCTCAATTCCTTTAACGCTAGAAAAGTGTGCTTTCATTGTGAAATACTCGCATTAGGAAAGATTAGTAGGATGGAGAACCACGGAAGAAATGAAACCAAACCGAAAGTGAGACGTATTAAAGTACTAGTTAAGCTTTTGCTTACCAGAGCAGAGTGGCGCAGCGGAAGCGTGCTGGGCCCATAACCCAGAGGTCGATGGATCGAAACCATCCTCTGCTAGGCCTCTTTTTTTTTTTTCTTTTTTTGAGGCCTTGTTTTTGATCACAGGGAAGACGTTCGGAATAGACTATAAAGCATAAAAGAAGCATAAAGAAAGAAAGGAGGGGTTTCGCAGTCTGTGGATTTTGATCTGCGTCCTGATTTTGTCAATTTCCCGGAGGTTTTCCGCCTCTGCACAGTGCAGGTTACTGTTTACGCAAGTGCAACTGAACTTATAAGGCTGTAGGCTTCGCGAGACTAAAAACCTCAAAACCACGGAAACATTTTTTAACCCGGAAGGGTTTAAGTCTGTAACTTTAAAATTTTTTCCAAAATATTCTTTCTTAGAAAAAAATAACATTCTTTACTCTTCATACTGGCCTCCCCCTCCTACAACCTTTAGAAATAATAAGGTGTAGGTTTATGCAGCATATATTGGAAAACAAAATGGAAACAATAAAATAAAATTCAAAAAAGGAAGAGAAAAAAAGTAGCGCGGAAAAAAAAATAAGACATATTAAAGGTACATCATACTTTTCTCCTTGTTCACCAGAGTGGCGCAGTAGAAGTGTGCTGGGCCCATAACCCAGAGGTCGATGGTTTGAAACCATCCTCTGCTAGGTGATTATATTTTATAAGTTAGCAACATTAACAATAATATTAATAATAAAGACAGTATTGTCTGAGACTGCTACGTAAAAAGAGGGACAATGCGTAGAAAAAGAAATAACAAACCTCAGCCCGTAAAGAGAAACAAAAGGGCAGAGAGTTAAGGAGAGTGGAGAGAAAGGCTTAAGAGGCCTTTAGTTACTACAGCTTCTAACTAGGAGAGAAAGGCACAGGCTTCAGAGAGATGAGGATGAAAACAGTAACATGACGTTTTCTTCGTAAGCCTAGGGGTAGGGGGAAGCAGAAAGACTGACTTTTGTATCCCTGGTACCGTGGACACTCGTTTTTGAGCTCCTATTATTTGCTAGGCACAGGGGCCCGACAGTGGGAAGAGACAGAACATTTTTTAAAGGAAAAAAAATAATTGTTTCTCATACCCATCCATTCTTTGTCTCTGTAAAGTAGAGTAATTAAGCAGGCTGCACGTCCATTCCATCGTCAATAGGGGAATCTTCACTCCCGTTAAACAATTTAAGACAAAGTTTCAGATGAAGATGAGCTTCAGAATCTGAAAATTTCCCGTCATGGGACATAGCAGAAGGGACTGATTCTCTCAAAGAGACTGGCTGGTTTTTGAGAATAAATAACCCGAGGAGAAGTCAGAAAAACTCCCTTCTCACCCTCTTGTCTTATGGTCCCCCTCCCACCACTGGAGTGAAACTGAGTCCAGGGTATCTGTAGTCTATTGCTAAATGCAATGGCTTTTTCTCAGCACTTATCCTTCCTGACCTCTCTGCAGAATTTGACACTCACCTTGATTTCTCCACTCTGGGTTTTCATGACACTGCTCTGATATGGCTTTCTTCTTATCAGACGGTTCCTTCTTAGTCATCTTGGAAGGCTGATCATTCATATGTCCCCCAAGTCTCTGCCCTGAGCCCTCTCCTCTCTCTATACTCTCTTGGTAACAGTATCAGTTCCCATATATTTAACTATCTCAATGTGGACAATCCCCCAAACTACTTGTTACAGTCCTTCTCTCTCCTCCCAACTCCAGTCTTTCATCTCCAACTGTCTCTTTATCTTCATCTGGATGTCCCCAAAGCATCTCAGACTCAATTTGTTCAAAACAGAACTCATTATCTCACCCCCTAAACACATCCATTACTCATCCCCTAAACACATCGCTCTTGCCAACTAAGAGCCACACTTAATTTTTCAAAAATGTAAATGAAAAATTCATCCTCTTCATTCTCTGTCATCCCTTCCATATCCAGTCAATTGTCAAGTCTCATGCATTTCACCTCATCAGCACCTCACCTCCATCCCCTTCTTTTTCTCTCTACACACGTGTTCAGGCCTCTATCATCTTTCATCTGGACTATTGCAAATACTTCCCATTTAATGTAAATAGTAATAATAGAAATAACTAGTACTTATATAATACTTTAAGGTTTATAACAAACTTTACAAATACAATCTCATTTGATATTGCAGGATTCCTGCAGTCATTCTTTCCTCTTTCTGATTTACACAGTTGCCAAAGTGACAGGCCTAAATCAAAGGTCTGACCTTTGAATTTGATCACTCCCCTCCTCAAGAAAGAATGTAAATAAATCAACATTTGTTTAAAGCAGCATCCCATATCCCACCAATGAGCCTTTGTACAGGCTGTCCCTGATGCTTATCTCTTATCATCCCTCTTCATCTCTGCCTCCTGGAATTCTTAGATCCCTCAAGACTAAGCTAAAATGCTACCTGCTTCAAAGGGCCTTTCTTCATTACCTCAATTGTGAGTGCCACCTTCCCCCATCCCATCATTGTGTATTTGTTTTGTGTACATCCTAAATGTACATGAATAAAGTGTAGCCCCCCAGTAAAATATAAATTCCTTCAATGAGTTAATAATAAATATTTTTATAGTTAATAACTATAAGTTAATAAGATTAGTTAATAATATAGTTAGTAAACATTTATTAAGAGCCTACTGTGTGCTAGGTGCTTTCCTGAGCACTGGGGATACAAAATCAAACCAAAATAAAAGGTCAGTCCTGGCTCTCAAGGAGTTTACAATCAAGTGAAGGAAGACAACAGACAAAAGAAAGCTAAAAATGGAGTGAGGAGGAAGGGAGAACATGATGGAAAAGTCAGGGAACATCAGAGTGGGAAATGGAGAGATGGCTGTCCTGGCCTCCTTCCTTAAATGGAGGTTTTGAAGCTCATTACTCAGACCTCCAGTCAGAGAGGCAGATGGTACAGTTGAGTCAGGTACTAAAGGCAGAGTCCATCTTGCAGGATGATGAAGTTTCCCAATGATGAGGTTCCTGTGTGCATGGTGAAGTCCAAGGAGTGCAGCCATTTGGGAAACAAAATTCTTTGAGGGCAGGGACTATCTTACTTTTGTATTGGTATTCTTAGAATCCACTCCACTACCTGGCACATTTTCAGTCTTTTCAGTCTTGCCTGACTCTTCAAGACTCTATTTAGAGTTTTCTTGGCAAAGATATAATTTGCCATTTCTTCCTCTACTCATTTTACAGATGAGGAACCTGAGGTAAACTAGGTTAAGTGACTTGCCAAAGATCACACTGTCTGAGGTCAGATTTGACCTCAGGGAAATGATCTTCCTGATTTCAGGGTTGGCACTTTATCCATTTCACCACCTAGCTGCCCCTAACCTGGCACATAGTAGGCTCAATAAATGCCTATTGGTTGACTGATTGAAAAGGGAATGTCAGATCTAGTCTTGGTGGTCATAGAGTAGATAGACACCAGAAGGCCAGACTCTTTCTTAGTAGGGAAGGTAGGAGAGGGAGACATGGTAATTGGTCAAGAAGCTCAGGGATACTTTTATCTGTATTCTGTGTATATCCTCTGTACAGTTTCCATTCAAGGCTCCATTTTGGATCCTTCTGTGTCCAAGTCCTTTGCCTAAATGTTGGAAGCTGCCTGAGCAGTTCTAGCAGGCTCTTTTTGGTGCTTTGCACTGATCCATCTAAATGGAACTTCCCCTTTCGCTGCTTATGACAGTGAAATCTCAAAACTTCAGGTCTGGATCACCTGCACTGGTTCCAGACAAAGAATGGAGGCCCATATACATAAAATGGAACACTTATTTTTAAAAAATCCTACTGTTGAAACCAAGGGCTTTACTCACTTGTCTAAGGAGACCTTATGAACTGAGCTATTCATATTATTAAACTGATTGTTGAGAACTGGGGGGCAACGTCCCAACTTCTACCAGCCACTGATTCTGCTGAGCTAAGTCTGCTGGGATCCCAGGGCTTCTGGAGATCTTTTGACTTTTGTCTTAGCCTACAAGCAAAAGAGAGCCCTCAAAATGCATATCTACAGTTTTACTCTACAACAGGGTTTTTTTAAACTACTGTTTATAAATGTGTTTTAAAAAGGCTTTGATATCAGAAATTCAATGTAATTGATTTTTTGTTAGAAATATTTTAATTCTATGTTTTAAAAATATTTTTTTCTGAGGAGGCCATAGGCTTTACCAGACTGACCACAATACAAAAAAGATTAAGAATCTTTGCTTTAGAGAGAGAGGTGTTTAATGAGAACTCTCACAATATAAGCTATAGGGGAAGTCTTATCTCAGGAATGAACACCTTAACCTAATATAAATTGAAATGTCATATATGTGGACCATGGTTCATTATACAAGAACACAGAAAACTATTAATAATGACATGTTATAATAAAAATATAATCCTTAACTCTAGAAATAGAAAGCATACAATTTTTCTTGTCAAGTGTTTGGCACTGCATTACCTTAGTTGGGCATGAGGAGAAAAGAGGAGATAAAGAGGAGACAAAAGTGGGGAAGAGAAAGGGAGGCACCCACTGACAAGAGATCCATAACTGTAGATGGTCAAGGGCCAGAAATCCAGAAGCCCTGTCTACTACTGGTCAAATGAGCCTCATGCTCAGTCAAAAATCCATTGTCTTGGAAAAGATTCAATGTCCACTCAAATGGAAGACTTTAAGGTAAGGCAATGCCTTCCTATATTTGAAAATTCTGGCATCAGAAATCAGTTGAAAAGGGATGGGGGAGAGTGAGGAGTGTCTGATCTTCCTCTCTGAATAGTGCTTCATTCCTCAGGAACCACAGCATCAATTCAGAATCAGACAAATAACTGTCTCTACAAGCCTGGAAACTTTGTGGCCAGATTCTGGGCTACTGTTTGCACAAGCGGGTAGACTTTGATGGATGAAATGAAGCTCCAATCCAAGGGGTGGCTCTCTAGGTCCTCAACTGCAGCCGTTTGACTGAATCCAAACTTCACGGAACAAATCCTTTGGGAACCTAGAAGGCCACATGTGCCCTCCAGGTGGCAGGTTCCCCAATCTTTGATTACACCAAAGGCCAAGAAGCCTGTAGTACCAGGGAGCTGAAGAGCCTCACTCCCTGCATAGGAGAATCATTTCAATTCAGTGGGTCACAGCAAAGGAGCCAGGCTTTGTGTTGACATAACCGAAAGAAAGGACAGTCCAGTCTCTAGCCACAACAGTTTAAAGTCTAGGAAGGGAATAAAAAATGAGCATAAGCAAAATAGGAGTATGAATATAATTCAGGGAAT